CCTCAGCTTTAAAATGAGTTGTCAAATACACCAACAAAAATCCCCACCCATGCCTGGTTGGTGGGGGAATTCTGGGAGTTGAAGTCCATACATCTTCAAGTCACCAAGGCTTAGAAACCTGACATAGCAGAACTACTAAAAGGGGACTCCAGTCAGTTGGCCCCTAATGCTTGGGGAAAGGCCAGGTCCTAACAGCTTTCCTAAAGGCAAGGAGAGCTGGGGCCTGTCGTATATCGAGGGGGGGGGATCATTCCAGAGAACAGGGGCAGCCACAGAAAAGGCATGTTTTCTAGGTCTGTAAGATTGCAAGATTTAAAGAAGGAACCTGTTACCTGTTTGACTAGAAATGGATTAGTTAAAACAGCTTTCCCCAGCCCCAGTATACCGATTGTTGCAGTAAATCAGAGTCACCTGCAAGGGCTGTCTGAAAAAAAGATAATCTGAATTAAATCACTGCCTGTAGTTGATTACATAGCTCTCCAAAATGACAGGCCAGGATTACATGATTCAAATGTAAGTGCCTTGTTTGAAAATTGTAACTCTAATTTATTACCAGTTTAGCGGCCAAGCTTGTACTGAGTAGACAAATCCCGTAGTCCCAGCAATGAAGGAATGGCTAACCAAAATTCTCCACATTGTCTGCATATAAATTCTCTTCTGCCTCAGCATCTGGCTGGCCTTATATGGACTAAGAAACTAAGCAGGCTCCTTGACTCAAATAAAACTTCATTACTGTATACGTCTTAAATTTCATTCATTTTTTTTCTCCTGCTTTCTCTGGGAGTGAGTCTGAAGTAAAGCATCGACTTACAGTATTGAGGAATTGTTATGTACAATAGCCTTGTAAATAAGTCTGCAAAGGTTACTAGCCTAAAACATATAGAAATCAACCAATAATTTATATTATTTATAAATAATATTTATAATGTGCCCCCTTGGGGTATGGCCCAACTGCCATCCAAAATAAAAAGTAAATCTCAGTTAAAATTGCATATAAGCAATAACATCAATCATTTTTTTTCTTCCTAGCATTTTTCCCACAGAAGCAGGGTCTGCTTTTTTTCAGATCAACCAAATGTTGATCCTTTGGTTGCCACAGGAATTGATTGACCAGCTTGTCACCCAAGCCTGACATCTGGATCAAAGTCACTCAGCCAGCTTTCATGCTTAAGGCAGGACTAGTACTCATGGTCTCTCAGTTTCTAGCCTGGAGCCTTAACCACTAGACCAAACTGGCTCTCTAAGCCAGTATTTCTCAACTTTGGCCATTTTAAGATGTGTGAGATCGGAAGAGCGTCG